TGAATTAATATCACTATTATTTGCAAAAAAAGAACATAACAACTCTTTGTAAGGAATAGTACTATTGAGCAAAAGAAACGTAGAATTCCAACGATTTGGTACATCTCGAGGAAATCTTTTTTTAGACACTTTTTTTGATATATAATATCTATTAAATTCATTTTGTGCTTTTGGATGTGTCCACAAATAAAGAATAGCATCTCTAATGGGTTTAATACTACTTTGAAGTGATTGTAAACCAGCTTGAACGCATAAATTTAAAACATGACAAACACATCTTTGATGGAAAAATTTACCTCAAAAATATGGAAGACATAACTCTCTAAGTTCAGGGATTGCAGCAGTATTATTAGAAGCATTATCGAAACAAATTGCAAAAATTTTGTTAGTAATTCTGTATTCATCAAAAATACCTTGCAACTTACTATAAATATTGTGTGCAGTGTGTAATTCATCAAAACAACGAAAATCAAGAATTCTTTTTTGTAGCACCCATTCATGATCTTCCCAATGACATGTAACACCTAAATATGAATATTCTCTCCAATTATCACTCCAAATATCAGCACAAATAGTCACCCGCCCAGAATGTGTTTCCAAAAGAGAAATCAATTTTATTTTTTCAGCTTTATATAATTTGTAAATATGACGAGCAACAGTTGTACGCGGTAAATCACACATTTGGGGATTTAATGCACCACGACAAAATTCTTTAAACCCCAACTTTTGACCAAAACTAGAAGGTAGACCATTTATTGCAACCATTTCAGCAAACTTGCTTCTAGTTTGCTCATCTGTGTAACGAAATAAAGCACTAGATTTAGTTGTGTACCCGCCAATTTGTTGTTGTGTTTGGGTATTTACCTCTTTGTCTGGATGTTTTGTGCTTATATGCTTCCGGTATGTCCCGTATCTACCGAATTTCGACCAATTGTACTTCTTATCACAATAATTACATTTTACTACAATTTTTCCATCAGGTTTTTCAATTTTCGTCATGTGTAATCTGAAAAGATCAGATTTTTGTTTGGTAGGAATCTCCGGATGGGAAGGTTGAACTTCTTCGCCTTCATTGTCCTGGCCTTGCGAAAATTCTGAAAAAAGTGGGATTGTTAGATTCAAAAGAAGAAAGAAAGGGATGAGTCTGAGAGCCAAAAGAGGGTCGTTGAGTCGGTTGGGGTTCATTTATAGCTACTTGAGGGTTTGGGTTTAAATCTTGGCAGTATGCTTGTTGTTGTAAAATTAGATGGTATTGATATTCGTTTGGAAATCCCTGAAATGAATGCCGTGGAGGTTCAAGAGAAGGAGATTCTCTTGAAAATCCATGAACCGGATGCCGTGGAGGATCAAAAGAAGGGGATTTTCCACGATTTTCATGACTCTCACTAGCTTGACCCTCCTGAGAAAAAGATGCTCTGCTTGAACTATCCATGGTAGAAGTAGAAATTTATAGATATAAAAAATGTAGAGATAAATAATGAAAGTTCAGTGAAAGAAAGAATTGAAAATTGTAGAAAATGTAGGCAAGTATTTAAATTTCGGAGAATGAGAATTCAGACTTTCAGAATATTGAGATTTGAGACTTTGAGAGAATGAGAGAGAGAGACATAGATTTTGGGTGAAAGAATACTTGTTGAACTCAGACATTTATAGACAAAAAAAATAGAAGAATGGGAGGTAAAATCCGAAGAAGTAAAGAGTGCATTCTAAAACTTCATAATTTTTTTAAAAATGACCATTTCCCAACAATCTCTTTTTTAAATTTTTTTTTTTGAAATATTCAACTTTAAACCGAAAATTTCAGAAAAAATGTATGCAAGACTCAGCTTTGAGTCTTGTCAACAGTTGACAAGACTCAAAGCTGAGTCTTGCACGTACTTTCTTCAGGCTGAGACAAAGTAAAATGAGTCAGTGAGACTCTTTAATTAGAGTGTCATTGACTCATTATTGCGCAAAGGCCAAGTGGGCAAGTGGCCACTTGGCCTTTGCACAATTTACGGGAGGACGGGACAGCTCACCTCACTGCCCAAAGGCCAAAGCTACAACATTTACTTTATTCATTTTTTTACTGTTTGGAACCGGAACCGGTGGTTCCAGTTCCAACATTTTAATAACCTTAACCGGAACCATATTGGTTCCGATTAGTTTCGGAACCGGAACCGTACGGACTGTTCTGGTTGCTACAGTCACGGTTCTGGCCGAACCGTGGTCACCTCTAGCTGCGGTACAATCAGGTTTACAGCATTGCGTGTGCTTAGATTTGCGCTGCGGTGCAATCAGGTTTATGGCACTGTGTGTGCTTAGATCGACGGAACAGATTGGCGGTATAGATGAGCAGGGAGCATTGCTCAAGAGGGATAAGGCTGATGGAGTACAGGGTGGCCTGGAGGTACAGGTTGGAACTGATATAAGGATGGAGCGGTGTAAAGGTTGGAACTTGGTATAAGGTTGGAACATGGACGTGTCTTGTGGTCATGGCTTGTTAATGTGTCTCTTATCG